GAGAGGATTCACCAGAGAGACAGAGTGGGGAGCAGAAGAGGCAGATCTACGAAGTACACTGCTGAGGGTAGCAGCGGGCGGGTCAGGAGAGGTCTGCCATGCCATGTGGTCACCTCTGGGGCAGGCGGGAATCGAACTCATGCGGAAGCTGCTTTAGCTTCTTGGTGCTGTGCTTTAGCCCTCTGTGCCACCAGGGAGAGCCCACCAATGTTTGGTTTTAAAAAAATGTTTGGAGTTCTGAGGCATTCCCCTGCTCCCACCCAGAACAGTGTAATCATGTAACACCTTCCAGAATCCTCCACCCTCAAGTGCCCTGGAAGCTGCCACTCACCACAGGCTGATGACTATTCTTTCTTTTGTTTGTTTTTTAATCTAGTAGTAAGATTCCTGAGCGGTCAGTATGAAAACTCTGGGAATAGCTGAGGGGTAAATTTTGGAAACTGGATCAAATAAGGAAGCTAAATGGTCAGCAGTGTTGGCCTAGAAACCCAGGCTCCAAAGCTGGTCTTCTGGAAAAAGCTGCTGAAAAGGACTGGCCCTTCTTCAAGTCCTTCTGTGCATTGGAAGCACAGGTGGGTACACTGTTACATGATGGCCACACAACGGGCAATGGGCATCAGCTGTAGTGGTCACTACTTCATCCTTGCAGGCACACAGGTACAGTAGGGAGTGACAATGTCTATTTTAATAAGTCAAAATGAAACATTCAGTGTTCCAGTCACACTGGTTACATTTCAGTCAGTAGCCACATGTGACTGGCAGCTCTGTGTAAGCTCAGATGGAGAATGTTTGCATCATCACAGAAGATTCTTCTGGACAATGGTGCTCTAGAGAAGTGCTTCTCAGGCTGGAGATGCCACAAGTGTCTGTGAGTATCTTACAGCAGTGCAAGTTCTGATGTGTCAGGCTTCACTGAGGCTTAACAGTCTACATTTGTACCAGCTCCCAAGGGTGCCAGTGCTGATGGTCCCAGACCACACTTGGAGAAGCAGAGTGTTAAGAGTAAAGATGATATGGTCCATTTATTTCACTTTTCATAAATCAATTTATTTAGTAAATAGTTGATCTGACGTGTGGAAATTATTTTTTAATCCAAATTGAGTTTGTGGGCATAATGGATTTTGAATTAACCACAGGAATCACACATCATATTGTTTTGCCTACTTAATGTAAAATGAAAATTGGAATTGAATAAATAAAATTCAGAAAATAGATGATTTTCTTATCTAAACAAAATGTCTGGGGCCCTAGGGCCTTGTTGTTTCAACCTGTTTGCATTTTCAACCTAAGAAAATCAGGTTTTAGAAATTCCAGGGTTGGACCCTCCCTGGTGGCGCACCAGGTTAAAGGACAGAACTGTACGCTGGCCGAAGCCTCCTCAGTGCGAGTTCGAT